CGGGCGGGGAGGCTGCGGGCAAACCAGGCGCGTTTCCCGGGGCCGTCTCGGATAAACTCTTCCCTCTCCCGACGCAGGTCATCATGATGGGGATAATACGGCACGCCGAGAAGGCGCCCACGAACATCCTCTACAAAGTGGACGACATGACGGCAGCCCCGATGGACGTCAGGCAGTGGGTTGATACTGACGTAAGCAGCAGATTTGTTGTGAACGCGCTTCTTTAAAAGTTTTTGGGGGTGGTGAAGAGAGAAAAGTTATGGAGATATAGAATATCTCAAGTTAGAAGGGGCCCATAAGGGTCATCGAGTCCAACTCTGCTTCTCGCAGGACTTCCTTACAAAAAAGATGTGGCTTTTCTGAAAAGCGCTTTAGGGATAGCACGTCTGAAACCCAAGGGCGATGCTGCTGTAGCAGAGGTCACTGGTGCTGCATGGGACTCTTCTCCTGTTTGGTCTTTCGTACATGATTCCACGTTGAATCACTGTAGTTTTTTAAGGGTTTAGCTGCTGGAGCCCAACCCTTCCTTCACAGCTGAGCTGAGAGGCGCAGGCTCGGTGCTTCTGCGTGAACACAAGGACAGAGGGTGAGCAGAGGTTTTGTCTGTGCCTCGGTGGTTGAGGTGAAGACACGTACCAATGAACGTTGTCTTGTTTTCTGAGTCATGACTCCTGAAGTGCTGACAGCTTTCGCTGGACTCTCCTGCTGGTACAGCAGGCCTTTAGGCCAGACCGCGTTGCTGTAACACAGGTTTGAAGGCAAACGGCTGGGTTCAGATGAGCAGCTTTGGCAGACGCTGAGTTGGCTTAGCTGTGAGTTTATTGTCCCTTCAGAAAAGGTTCTGGCCTGCCGCCATTCCCCTGCCCAGGGGATGGAGTTGAACACCTGCTTTTTCACTATTCACTACTTTCCTCTTGTTGCCCTGTGGCAACCTCTCAAGTGGGCAGAGGCAGCAGAGCAGGCAGCTGGCTTTGGCTGCTGTGAAATGTACAGTGCATTCAAACGAGCAAATGGGGGTTTTCCCCCATTTTTCATTTATGATTCTGTTTCCTAACTGCTGTTACTGGACAGAGGAATGCATGCCGTTTGTGTTTGCTTCAGAGAAGCCTTCTTTCCTGCGTCATTTATTGTGATAACTGAGAAATGGAAACATGAACCAGCAAAACCTTCCTTTCTCCTTTTCCCGTCTGGCAGGAGGCGGGTGGTGAGAACGTTGTGGTACCGCCAGGAACTTACGTGAAAGTGGCCGGTCACCTGCGGTCTTTCCAGGTACAGTGGGGGTGTCCGTGTGCTGCTGCAAGTCACGAGGCTGGAGCAGGGCACGAGGGGTCGGTGGTGTGTGACGGTGTCCCTGGGCTCCCTTTAGAATATCCGCTTGGTCGTGGTCTTGGCTCGTCCTTTCCTGCAGACAAATCCTTAATTGTTTTTGCCAGGGCTGTAGTTAATAACGCTTTAATTGCTCCTGGGTGCAAAGGACCATTTGAAATGCCGCTCTGCACCAGCACATTGGTTTTGGTGGAACAGGGTGCGGCCATCAGGGTCTGGGGTGTTGGTGCTGCAGAGCCTAGGCCAGGTTCTGGTTAACGGGGGCGCTGCTTGTGGTGTGTTACCTGCTGTGGTTGGCTCATAACTGAATATTATAACTGAATGTATGAATAAATATTTAAATGCATGTGTGGAGCAAAGTGCAGTTAATTACCACTGTTTAGAAAGAGGAGTTACCCTGTCTGCATTGTCCTGCAAAATCGCATATGAAATTGTAAGTCAGAAGATTTTGGACTAGGTGCATGCAGACAGGCTCCCTACCCACCGCTGTCCCTGTTCCTGGAGAGAGTGGTTGCATTGGCTGCTCAGTGTGTTCCTGTTTTCCTGTTGCTGTGATGTTAAAGTTTTTTATTTGCCTTTTTTTTTTTTTTTTCCCCTCTGAAAGAATAAGAAAAGCTTGGTGGCATTTAAGATCGTGCCTCTGGAAAATATGAATGAGTTCACCACGCACATTCTAGAAATTGTCAACGCGCATATGATCCTCAGGAAGAACCTTATGGTACGTACCTGAAGGTCCTGATTCCATCTTGGCCTTCTCTGGGTGGCTGGTCGTCTCCCAGAGAGGGACCTCGTGGTTCGTTGAGGACGTTGTGGAGTTGTGAGGCTGGAGAGCTCGAAGCTGTTGGAGGGCTACAGCGAAGGTGTGACAGGAGTCCTGGCTTCCTTGGAGGGGGGGGGTGTCGCAGTCCATTTCCAGTGGCTTCTTTTGGGAATCCCTTTTGCATGACTGTCTCTCTGGTAACACCGACCCCTCCCTGCTGCTGCCTGCGGGCTCGTGGCAGCCTGTGTAACCGCAGCGGTTTCACTCTCGTCCTTGCAGTCAGCGTCGAGAGCGCCGCAGCCGTTCGCCTCCGCCGGGCTGGGCGAGATGGGGGGCTACGGCGGAGGGGGCAGCCTGCCCGTGAACGGACTCACAGCGCACCAGAGCCAGGTGGGTGCGAGCAGCTTCTCCAGGGACACGGCGGGTGCAGGGGGTGCTGCTGCGGCATGGTGGGGGCGAAGAAAGGCCGGCTCAGTTGCTCGTTGAGGAGGGATAGTTCTTCCTTGGCCTTGCTCTCCCTCGCCCGTAGCGAAGCTCAGCTGTGTGCTAGTGGTGGTTCTTGTTTTTCCCAGGTGCTGAACCTGATTAAAAACTGCCCTGTCCCAGAGGGTATGAGTCTTCAAGAGCTGAAACTTCAGCTACACAATATGAGCATGTCAACCATAAAGTAAGTACATAGGAACGAAGGACGCTGTGGGAATCCAGGCAGTCCTCCCTGGAGCCTGATGAGAGGAGGCAGAGAGGAAAATAGTGGGCAAGCCCCGGTCCTGACTTGTGGCACAGCGCTAGTAATGCCAGCTGTTCCCAGCAGAATGCAGTCGTGAGCCAGAGCCTTTGGAGTCTCAGCAGCTCAGAATGAGCCGTTGTCAGCTGAAGGGGGGATGATAAAATGCTTCCCTCCCTGTTTCCAAAGCAAGCTGTCTCGCAGCTCGGTAGCAAAGCCATAGGGACCGGCAGCACCGAGCACCTCAGCAGTGTTTTCTCCTCGGTTCCCAAGGGCTGCCCTGCTCCCTGCACCCCATCAGAACTCGGGAACAGGCTGTTTCTGTTCTCTTCTCCTTGGCTGTCTCTAATAACTACTCCCCCCCGAGACTTAGAAAGCCAGCGAAGCCTGGAGGCAGTAAGGAAGGTCCACTGTCCTTCTGTGTCCCGTCCCCTTTGAAGCAGAGCGGCAGGTACCGCTTTTGCCTGGGAAGCACCGAGAGCGGTGGCCTTCCCTCTGTGGCAGGCGGAGTCAGAGCTGCTTTTTTTTATGGCCCCCGCTCTGGAGAAGCTTTCTGCACCTGCTGGCTGGTGGAGCAGCACTTAAACTGCTCACAGGACAGAGCCACCGAGAGCTTGCCTTGGCAGCTGCCGGAAGGGAACAGCAGGGATGGGGTCTGTAAGTGGGAAATCCCCAAGAGAAAGGTGTCGATAGGAAATAGCAACTGCTTTTTTGTTTTCTTCCAAGGCAAGCTGTTGAATTCCTTAGCAGCGAGGGACACATCTACTCCACTGTGGATGATGATCACTATAAGTCAACGGATGCTGAGTAAAGTTACTTCCAGCTGGATTTAGTTCTAAGCAAATGCTTGTCCACGTGTCAAGTGGTCCTGCCGAGCCTTGCAACGTGGACGGTGATCTTTGCTCTTTCTAGCCTCTGAAAGTCCTGGTTACTCTGTGAGTGCCCCTTGGAATGCAAGGACAAGCAGAACGTATAGGATTCTGTTAACTGAACTCAGTTATATGCTGTGACCATGTGACTGAAAGCATAAGCAGACATGGGAGAACTGAACTCCTCAAAGCTTCAGAGCCTTCAGTTTGGTTTTGTCTCCTTAGAGGATGCCTGTGTTAGAGAGAAGAACCTCTTTGTAACCCCAGGCAGATTGTCTTTTGTTTCTAGAGCTGTTTGTCCTAACTCAGCTTTCATTTAATTTCGTTCACAAAGTAGGTAGCCAAGAGTAATACTCCACTAATGTACAGTAATCATGGATAGATTTGTAATTGGTTTAGTTTATGCATTTAAATCTATATTTGTACTATGAGGTGATCTTGTTACTAGAGCTTTTGAACGTTTCCAATAAAATTTTAACTTGGGTAGTCTTGCCTGCATCTGTGGCTCGAGAGGCCGTCCTTCCCTAAAGGAGAAAACATCTGTGTTGCCAAAACCTGGCCGTGTGGGTAAAAACACAGCTCATGCTTTCCAAGTTTCTTTAACTGTTCTTACTTTTTCCTTGGCTTTTGAAGGAAATTGCTTTAAAAGATTGAACTGAAGTGTATGTCTGGTCACTGGGAAATTAAACAACTGTACTACTGAAGAAAGCTGCAGGTTGTATCAGTGTTCCAAGCACAGCCAGGGTCATTTCTGCCACCAGAAGTGCTTTAGCTGGAGCTCAGGTGAATCACATCATGTGGAGCGAGTTTGTCTTTGCACTGTTTTTAAAGCATAGTGGAAAAACATGAAGTTAGGCAACAGCAGGGTTGATCTGGGAGCTGTACCAGGGTGGAGGTACCGGATTTGCATTTCCTGTTTCTCTGCACAATCCTGCCTTGTTCAGGAGGCAGCGCGCCGCAGGCAGCTGCTCCAGTGTGTTTGTGTCCTCTTAGCCACGACAGGCTTCCTGTAGTATAAAGTGCAAAGGTGGAAGCGACCTTCTGGGCAGACCCAAAGCCAGAGCAGAAAACCAGCCCAAACCCAAGCCAGGATGTGAGCCAAGTTTGAATGAATGAGATCCTCGCTGCAGCTTTGGGGCTGTGCTGTGGGCGCTGAGTGAGGAATGGCATGAACTGAAAAACTGCACCCAAAACTACTCTTCACTGGGAGAGGGAAAAAACCTGCCCAGTTTGATCTTAAACAAAATTTAAAATTTATTTTCCAGCTCTGATTTGAAAGAGGAGGCGTGCAGTGCGTGGTGCAGGAGTGAAATGCCTGCTTGCTTTTGGTGTACAGCTCTCCCCTTGTCAGCTCTTTTCCCTTAACGCACATCAGGACTGTGAGGTCTTTGTCTCTGCCGCTTTCCTGGGGCTTTGCCAAACTTCCGGGAAAAGAAGAGTTGAACTTTGGTCCTTATTTGGTTTTCAGGTCATTTTTTTGCACTCAACACCATGAGTGCAGCGGGGGGCCTTTGTAGGTGCCAAGAATCTGCCAGAGCGTGACAAGCACGCTCGCAAGCAGGAGGGGGCTGGGGATGTCTAGGACAGACGTGCAGTTAAAACCAGATGAGCAAACCAGCAAAACCTAAAGCCGCAACATTTTTACAGCGTTTCTACAACCTGGCTGAGAAATTAGGGCAGGGCGAGAAGCGAGTTTGGCTGCATTTGAGAAAAAGGCAGCTTCTGCCTTACGAAAGTGGGTTTCTGACCTGCAATTGTAAAAATGTGTCACTCACTCAGTGGTTTGAGCGCCAGCTGGGGCATAGCTTGCACCGTGTGAAGGGCTTCGTCACGGCTGCTCCTAACCCATCCCACCTCACGTGCCAAACAGCATCCGGACGTGCTGCCCCCAAAGCCACCCGCAAGCACCCGTAACCCCAGCCCAACGCCGCGGTCATGCAGCGGAGCAGCGCGAGATCTGTGTCCCAGGGCCTGGGCTGGCATCTCGGGGGCATCTCGGTGGCTGCCCAGCTGTGTCCTTGTCTGGTGCTGCCGGAGAGTCCCACGGCTGACAGTTGGGGCCACGGCCCGCAGCACAACAGGGGGATTTATTCTGTGCCTGGGACTGTCCTGACGGTGGACAGGCCGCTTGCCTTCGAGGAAAGTGGGTCCCTTTCTGCAGGCTCGAGGCAGTTGGAGGTTGTGCTGTGGATCCCTGGGGCTGTAGTTAGCCTCTGCGAGCAATCAATGTCGTGTCAGGTCCCAGTGTTTGGAGGCTGGGTGGCTTCCAGAAACTAAAGGACTAGAAAGGAAAAATCGCCTGCATTTTGCGAATTGTCTTTTTAACGTTGTCATCAACAATTTCGTAATCATGTTCATCGCTGTCTGTCTCCGCGCCTGGAAGGGAAGAGAGAGTTCAGCCTGCAGACGCCCCGCCACGGACTGCAGCAGACACCCCATGCCCTGAGCTGCCCGCCCCACCTCCCCGCTCCGAGCTGCACCTGGACGCAGTGGGGACTGAGGACG